ACCCCCAACATTCTGTGATTCTGTGACTCCTCCTCTCTGAGCTATCTCTGGACTTCTTGAGTTTCAGATGATCCATGGCTCAGTACAAGTCAGGAGCTGACCTTGAAGGCCACTCCCAGTCAGCTAGAAGATTTGTCCTCTTCCCCTTCACACAGGAATGTCTGTAGGACTAGGATTCTCTCCAAAAAGAAGCAAATAGGCAACACAGGAGGAAGCTTTTTTTATCACCATGAGAATGTGTCCTGCACCCCGTGACAGAAGAACAATCACAGAATTGTTTTGGTTGGAAAAGACCTTTAAGATCAATTTCAATCATTATCCAACTCTACCAGGCCTAATTCTAAACTATGTCCCTGAACACCATAGCTAGATGTCTTTTAAATGCCTCCAAAGATGGCAATTCAACCGCTGCCCTGGGCAGCGTGGTCCAGTCTGACTCTTTCAGTGTAGATTTTCCTAAACCTCCCCTGCCATAATTTGAGGTCATTTCCTCTTGTCCTTTTGGCTGTAAATTGTGAGAAGAGACTGACCCCCACCTCTCCACAATCTCCTTTCAGGTAGTTGTAGAGACCAATAAGGTCTGAATCTCCTTTTCTTCGGACTAAACAATGCCAGTTCCTTCAGCTGCTCCTCATAAGACTTGCTGTCCAGATCCTTCACCAGCTTTGTTACCCTTTTCTGGACTCGCTCCAGCACCTTGATGTCCTTCTTACAGTGCAGTGCCCAGAACTGAACACAGGACTACGAGTGCAGCCTCACCAGTGCCGAGTGCAGGGGGACAATCCCTGCCCTGCACCTGCTGGCCCTTCCTGATGCAGCCCAGGATGTCGTTGGCCTTCTTGGCCACCTGGGCACACTGCTGGCTCATGTCCAGCCGGCTGTCACCAACATCCCCAGGTCCCTTTCTGCAGGGCAGCTCTCCAGCCACTCCTCCCCAAGCCTGTAGAGCTGCTGGGGGTTGATGTGACCCAAGGGCATGATCCTTGATGAAACTCATACAATTGGCCTCGTCTCATTGACCCAGCCTGTCCACGCTCCTCTGAAGGTCCTTCCTACCCTCCAGCAGATCAACACACCCACCCGACTTGTCTGCAAATTTACTGAGGGTGCTCTCAACCTCCTAGTCAAGATTATTAATAAAGATATTTAACAGGACTGGCTCCAACACTGAGCCCTGGGGAACACCGCTTGTGACTGGCCACCAAGCGAATTGAACTCCATTCCCCACCGCTGTCTGGGCCTGGCCAGTGTTTGATCCAGCACAGAGTACACTCGTCCAAGCCTCAGGCAGTCAGTTTTTTCATGAGAATGCTGTGGGGAACAGTGCTGAAGGCTTTACTGAAGCCTTCATGTAAACAACATCCACAGCCTTTCCCTCATCCACCAGGTGAGTCACTTGGTCATTAATCTGGACCTGCCCATCATGAACCCGTGCTGACTGGGCCTGACCACCTGGTTGTTCTGTAAATGGTGTGTAAGGGCAATCGGGATGATTCGTTCCGTGGCCTTTCCTGACAGGTCTGTAGTTTTCCGGATCTTTCTGACAGCCCCTCTTGTAGAAGAGCATCTCATTTCCTAATCTCCAGTCCATTGGGACTTCCCCAGTTAGTCAGCACTGCCGATAAATTGTGAAGAGTTAAATTGCTTCATAGCATGGGGCTGTGGTTTGGATTTGTGCTGTAAACAGTGTTGATCAGCCAGGGCTCTGTCAGCTATTGCTGCGCAGTGCAAGGTCCTGCACATGGGTCGGGGCAGCCCCCGGTATCGCCACAGGCTGGAGGATGATGGGAGAATGTGGGATATTTAGAGAACAGTGCACATGTTTCGAACAAGCCAGGCAGCCTGTTTTTAGACAAGTTTTAGGCCTTGCTTGACAAGAGTTTGTGAAGGACATTGTGAAGGTCACTAGCTGTGAGAATATGCTGAAGCAAAGAAAAACAAGGAGCTGTGGCTGGTGTATGTGACTGAAAACAGAAACAAACCCAGGATGCAGGTGGGGAGAAGAAGAGCAAATCAGCAAAGGAAAACAGCGGGTGAACAGGAGCATGGACTGCGTGTGTTTGTTGTTAATAGCCAATCAATAGAGAGCATTTAGAAAACAAGGACGTTGTGCACTGTATATAAACTGCGTTAGTGCGTTAATAAAGTGGCATTTGCTTGATCACATTGATCATCAGCAGTGTCCGTGACTTCCGCGTCAACAAGAGAATGGAGAGCAGCCCTGCCAAGAAGGATTCGGAGTCACTGGTGGGTGAAAATCTGGACATGAACCTGCAATGTGCACTTGCAGCCAAGAAAGTCAATGGCATCCTGGGCTGCAGCAAGAGAAGCGTGGCCAGCAGGTCATATGAGGGGACTCTGCCCCTCTCCCAAGACCTCAACACAAAACTTTGTGTCCAGCTCTGGGGTCCCCAGCACAAGAAAGATGTGGACCTATTGGAGCAGGTCCAGAGGAGGCCATGGAAATGATCCATAGGCTGGAACGACTCTCCTGTGAAGAAAGGCCGAGAGTGAGGGTTGTTTAGCCTGGAGAAGACAAGGCTTCAGGGAGACCTTACTGCAGCCTTTCAGTATATAAAGGGAGCTTATAAGAAAGATGAAGACAGACTTTTTGCCAAGACTGTAGCAACAGGACAAGGGACCAGGGTTTTAAACTGAAAGATGGCAGATTTAGACTAGTTATAAGGAAGAAATTGTTTACAATGAGGGTGTTGAAACACTGGCACAGGTTTCCCAGAGAGGTGACAGAAGCCCCATCACTGGAAACATTCAAGGTCAGGTTGGACAGGGCTCTGAGCAACCAGGTCTAGTTGGAGATGTCCCTTCCTGTGGTGGAGGAGGGTTGGACTAGATGACCCTTAAAGGTCCCTTTCATCCCAAACCACACTAAGATTCCATGAATCTATCCTTCCATGATTCTATAATTCTATCCTTCCATGATTCTATGATTCTATGATTCAGAGTCTGCTCCTCAGCTTACCCCACCAATGAGTGGGCTGGGGATGCACAAGTAGCTGGGAGGGGACACAGCCAGGACAGCTGACCCCAACTGACTAAAAGGAAACTCCAGATTGTATGACAGCATGTGAAGCAATAAAAGCTGGAGGCAGAATAAGGAAGGGGAGGATGTTTGGAGTAATGCCATTTGCCTTCGCAAGGAACTGCTCTGTGTGATGAAGCTCTGCTGTCCTGGAGGCGTGTTGTGGTTTAACAAAGTCCTGCGCAGTCACTTGCTCACTCCCTCTGGTGGGGTGGGGAGGAGAATCGAAAACATGTGGGTTGAGATAAGAACAGTTTAATAATTGAAATAGAATTTTAAAATTAATTATTAATAATAATAGTGAAAAGGAAGATAGCAAACAGTGAAAGGTTATGCACAGTGCAATTGCTCAGCACCTGCTGACAGATGCTCAGCAGTAATCTATGTATTACTGCCCTATCCTGAGCAGTAATCTATCCCTCCCAGCCAACTCCCCCATTTATATACTGGGCATGAGGTTCTCTGATCTGGAATAACCCTCTGGCTGGTTCCGGTCAGCTGCCCTGGCCAGGTCAGCTTCTTGTGCACCTGCACACTAACAAAGTATGGGAAACTGAAAAATCCTTAACTTTGGATACGCACTACTTACCAACAACTGAAACATCTCCATTTTCAACGTCATTCCCACAGTAAACCCAAAACCCAACACTGACCCAGGCACTAGGAGAAAAATTGACTCTATCCCAGTCAAACCAGGACAAGGCAGGTAAAACTCTTCC